TCTTTTTTTTAAGAGTAAACCTAGAACGCTTGGCACTTTTATTTGCTCTAACCATTTTTAATAGTATAATAGTGAAATGCGATACAAAAAAAGTGGAACGTGATACAAAAAATGGGAACGCCAAAAAACTTTATATATTGATGATCTACATAAACATTCAAACCACCCTCCTTTTTACAAAATACCCCCTGATCAAACTACCTGGGTATTTTGCAAATTTAAGGGTAAATTTGTAAAATACCCAGGGTGGTTTAGTCAGTGCTCTATGGTAGTTATCACTGAACTGATCAGATTGCATCTAGTAATTGATAGTTACTTTCTTGTCAAAAATTTAGTCTCCTTTATATACTTTTTAATGTAAATCTAATATATCATATATGTTAGGTATATCTTATATATCAAATATATTAGATATATCAACTATATTAAATATGTCAAATATATCAAATATATTTGACATATTTGACATATTTGACATTTAGATCTACATTTTCTTGCATTATATAAATTAAATACATCTATTAAGTTGATCCTATTAATTACATCACTTACGTAACTATTTATAATGTATTATATAGATCAATTATATTATAATAGTCCTATTACAATAGTAAGGTTTAAGTACGTTTAAATAGAATTATCTTTATTTTCAACTTTTAAGAAGTAATCATCCAAAAATGCAAGCAAGTGAGATTGTTGCTAATGCAGTAGAAAAAGAAACATATCATGTTAAATATATTTATTCGTAAATATGTGAGTATATAATAAATTATAAAATTCTTTACTCTTATTAAGAACATCATACTAAAATATAGAGTTTTCTTTAGGATGAAGATATTCTTCTTCAAGTGAAATTATTTGTTTAAGAGCATAAGTGGAAAATTATCTTACAAATGTTAAAGATATAAATAAATAAGAATATTTTACCAGAACTCAAATTTGCACTATCTCTAACTATTTATATAAATATTGTGAGAAACTATTTGAAAGAACTTAGATATATAATTTATGATATCATATTTCCTTTATAATTTTTCTTTTGTTTTCTTTATTTAGAAGTTGTTAAATATTTGATAATTGATTTATCTTTCTCTTTCAGTGAGTAATTTATCCTTTTTTATAGTAAGTAATTTATTTTTTTTCAGTAAGTAATTTATCTATTAGCTAATAGTATGTTCATATTCCATATTTTTGTTTTCAGTTAAATATTTATTTGTTAATCTTTAATTTAATTGATTATTTCCTTGATTATTTATTTAAAATGTCATGTAATATCAATTCTATAAATTCTTAACTTTATAATATGTAAAATTAACTATCACAATCTTTTGACTTAAATGTTAAAATAATCAAAAATAAATCTAGTGATAACACATTCTATAAAATTTATTTTTGAAATTTAACCAGTAAAATTTGCTGTAAATTAATATTATAATTTGTATTTAACTAATGATAAATTAAGATCTATTATAGTATAACCTATAATAAAAATTTATACTTTACAATATGAGCTAAGAACACTAATTTCTTTTGAAATCAGTTATAATAGTTAAAATTTTAATAGACATAATAAATATAAGAAAAATAAAATAAAGCTAGAGTAATATTAAAAAAAATTTTAGTTCTTATAAAGATCTAAAAAAGTATTACATTAATAATATTATAAAATTCTTAAAAAAAAATTTTATGTTGATTAATTAATTCAGGCTAAAATAATATAATAAAAATAAAACAAATAAATTTTGTCAGAATTTATAGAAGTAAAACAAATAAATTTTGGCAGAATTAATAAAAGTGAAATAAATAAACTTTATCAGAATTAATAAAAAAATCTAACTAAATATAACAGAATAAGAAGAAAATAAATTTATCTTTCACAAAAGACTATGACTTCTTATTTATTACTAATTCTTTCTTGAAACTTTCAATATATATAATATTAAAAAAAAATTATTTTTTCAAAAAAAATCTTTAAATTTTTATATATAAATTTTTATTCAAATATATCTAACACTATGTTAGATATTTTCAAAGATTTATTTATAAAAAACCTACAAGATTTTTAAAACTTGAGAATATTTATTACACTAAACCTAGAAAAAAAGATATTATTATTATAGAATTTATTTTTTTTAAAATACAAAAATCTTTTGACTAATTTATCAACTTAATTTTAAATATGATAAAGCTTTTTCAAAAGATTTAACTCTATAAACCAATTTTTTAAATAATAATTTTATCAAAAATATTATAAAAATAGTTTCTTATATTTTTCATGAACTAACACTAAAGATCACAATATAAAAGTTACCTAAGAAATTATTTTAATACTTTTTTTATTATATTATTATCTTATAATAATAATAATATTATTTTTTTAACTAATAATGAAAATTTTTTGTAATATATAGATACTTTAAATGAGAATGATATGCTTTACAGATAATATCATTATAAGATACAATACTTTTCTTTTTTCTCTTTTATCAATTTATACTTTCATCTTTGATCAATAATCATAATAATACAGTAGCAGTCATAAGTATCTGATCCCTTATAATTCTTAACAGTCAAGAAAAATGTCACAAATTTTTTATTATGATTGGCACAATAAAATTTTTGATGTAATATCTTTTTCAAATATATAATATATGTATAAAGTTTAAAATTAGTTAAAATTAATTTAATCAGTTAAAATCAATAATCTTTAAATCTTAATTCTAGTCAAAATTTTCTTAATTCTGGACAAATTTGTAATTTCAGCCTAAATGTAAGTTAAAAATGAAAAATACAGATCAAATATAACACCATATTTATGTAATGTAACATTTCAACCTAAAAACTAAAAGTGAATCTTATCAATCTCCTTTATGATCTTTTTAAGTATTTTTTCATATAACTTTTATTATGCGAAAAGAATCTTCTATGAAAATTAGTGTATTCTTTTATTTTTAATTTACTATGACAAAAATAAATTCAAGTTTACCAAATAAAATTGATGACTTCTTTGATAATATACTAGAGAATGAGGAAGACTTGATTAGTTTATTTACTGAAATTGCTATAAATAAAGCAAGGGAATTGCTTGTTTCAGATTTAGATAATGTAAATAATAACTCTGAAAGTACTGATTGGAATACTAGTTCTGCATTAACTATAACAAGTAAAAGTACAGAAACAGAGAATAAAATAATAATATCATAAACTAGTGGTTTAAATTTGATTCTGTGTGTATTAATAGACATAATAAATGAATCAATTCAAAGTTATGGTAAAGTCAAAAATTTACAAGGACTTGCATAATTAATTAACATATAGCAACTTAATGATAATACAGTTCATGAAGCTAAAGAGTTAGAGAATCTTAAAGCATGTCGAGAACATTTTATATACTATCAAAGTTGCCTTCATAAAAAAGGTGCAAAAAAGAATATGATATTATACATAGTTATTTACATCAAAGACATTGCTTATTTTGTGAACACAATTTTTATTTTTAGCTGTGAAAATTTTGTCATGAAAATTCAATTTCTTTTGGAAGTAAAAATTTGCATATATCATGTATTAGCCAAAAATCATATTCTGTATTAGAAATAAACAAACCGACTATTACAAATATGAAATTATAACAAAAATCACAATATGTATGTTGTAATTGTTATGAAAAATATAATAGATATTTGTATGTAAAACTAGGAAAAGGAAAACTAGTATTGTAATGCAATTATAATGAGAACACTAATATAACTTTACAATTAATAGGCAATTGGATTATTAATCTTAGTTACTCCAATAATAATTTATTAAAAACAAATATTTTAACACGTTTAACAACAATAATTGAGTAATTATTAAATTATACTTCACTATCTGTCTCTTCTAAAAATAATAACAATTCGTCAGATTCAATAATATCAATGCTGTATAATTTATTTGGTACTAAAGTTTTTTTTAGATTACATTAAATAAAATTAGAAGATCTATGTTATAATTTTTAGGATTAAGTATACGTCATCACTACTATCACTACTGTAAACTTATATAATTTTTTTTAATGCATGTGATTCATGTGACATAATCCCTTTATGAATAATTATGATCTATATAAATATTATCAAATTTAAAGGTCATATAAAGTGGAATAGTTATATGATATTATCACATGATCATAAAGATGATTGTGATTAGTCTGTTGGATATCAATAGTGATTTGTCAGAATAATAGTCGATTTATCATATAAAACTAGCAAAATTAACCATTTATATTTTTTAAAAAAAAAGTAAAATTAGACGATTGATCACTAAATGCAATCAAAAAAAAAGTAAAAAAATTTTTTTTTATTATTTTGATTTATTAAATTACGAAATAATTGAATTTATGGATGTATCTAACATAGAAATAAAAGTTTCAATATCTATCATCCTTTCAGTTAATTCAGTTACAGTAAGTCGCTGATTCTCAATTTCTTTTTGTTATTCTGTTTGTATAAATTCTATTATTAACCCACAACCTTTATATACTTCATAACTACTTTTTTTAAATATTCTTTAAAACATTTTCCAAACATATGTAGTCAGTAATTTCATATTATCATATATATATTCATGAAAAAGATACTTGCATAGCAACAAGTATTGATTGTAAAATAAGTAGTAATAATTAAGCGAAATTAGACCTGATACATATTTACCTTTCTCAATCCTATCCATTACAGTACAAGTCTTTTTAATAAGTAAATATTGAATTAGAAAGTGAAATTTGTAGATTTCTTTGATAATATCATTATCTACATTATAAGCAAAGATTTTTTTAATACAAAAATCAAAGGTGACTCTTTTATAATCAAATTATTTTTTATAATTCAAAATAATGATATTATAAATAGCACCTAAGATAATATAGAAAAAAGAAAATAAATAAAAAAATAATAATTTGTAAAATAAATAAATAAAATTTAACCTTTTTTTATTAAGTTATTATATACAAGCGTAAATATATGTAAATATTTAAAAGTTTTTTAAGATTATAAATAAATAAACTAAAATAAAGTAGATGAAAGGGTGGATAATAAGTAATAAAAGATGGTAAAACATAAACACAAGTACATTAATTAACCTACACTTTTGGCAGAAAAAAATGACAATTTTTTTTTTAGATTTTAGAGCAGATCACGCGAAATGTCTAAATAAAACATAAATTATGATGTAAACAAGTTGTTTACATCATATTTTAATAAATATCTGCAGCCTAGTGATCGCAAGCATTATATAATGATTTCACTAAAAGAATGCTATCAATGTAATAAAGCTTTATGGAAAGGTAGCGTTCGTAAAGTTGCAGACCTTCAAAAGTTACAGGATATCATTAAAAATATTATACAGATGGGTCAAACAACTCAAAGAAATGAACGACCTTAAGCAAAAAAGTTGTCCAGGACGTTCAAAACGTCTTTCTCCTTTTCAGCGTCATTATTTTAGTCAAATTATGAAATCGCGCAAATGTGCGTCAAGTAATGAAATAACCAAAAATCTAAAAAAAAAATACCCTAACCTTGATATTGCATCTCAGACGGTTAGAGAAAATCTTCAAGACCTTGGGTATAAAGTTTGTATTTCTCGTTCAGTTCTTTTCCTTACCCAGAATGCTATAAATCGTCATGTCACTTGGGCGAAAGCTCATCAAGAAGAATGTTAGAATAATGTTATATTTTCTGATGAGTCAACATTTCAGATATTTTATAATACGATGCTAGTTCATTACAAAGTTAGAGAAATAATGCCGAGACAAGTTATGGTAAAATACCTCTTTAAAGTCTATATGTGAGGTGCGTTTTGTACAAAGGGAATTGTCAGATTTCACATATTCACAGAGAATATGAATGAGGAGCTTTACCAGAATATTATTACCGAAAATTTGTTTAAGCAAGCATCTCAGATCTTTTAAAACAGGTGGACATTCTAACAGGATAATGATCCTAAGTATCGAGCTAAGCTTATGATCAATTTGCTTCAGGATTATTATCCTTAAGTTCTCGATTAGCCATTTTCTTTTCCAGATCTTAATCTGATTGAGAATCTATGGGTAATAATAAAAAGAAATGTTGAGAAGAAAGTTAATATTATGGTCATTAAAAAAATCAGTTATGCAGAAAATTTTTATGAGATTAATAAGGGAAGAATAGGAGGCAATCGATATAAACTTATATATTAATCTTGTAAGGTTTATGCCAGGGCGTGTAGGAATGGTAGTAGAAAGCCAAGGTCGCACAATAAATTTTTAGGATTTTTATATTTTCATTATGTATATTTAGGGGGTTTAATTTTAAAATATTAGATTTTTTTAATAAAAGTCAGGCGAGATATTTGCCAATTTATAATTGTCATTTTTTTATACCAGAACTGTATATAATGAAGAGGTTGAACTTTTTAGTTCACTATGATAAGATTCTAATGGATTTGTAGAAGTGACTTGCAAAAGCAAAGGAGAATGTTGATGTATCTACAGTACCTATTGCTGTGTATTTTCATGTAGTTCCTTTTGATATAATTTTGAATAGTAGAAATAGAACAGTTATTAATAGCATTTTGCACTAGTCTTTTATAACTAATTTTGTTTTTTTGTGTATTACTCCGATTATAATATCCTAAGTTTTTTATCATAAATTTTTGTCATTCAGATTCTCATAATATGAACAATACAGAAAATTACTTCACACTCTTGCTCACTGGCACTTATACCTAGAAAAATCATTTTAATACCTTTGATCTTAATACTACTTTGATTTGAAAGGATATAATAGGAAGACCAATGACAATAGCTATTACAAATTATTTTTAACACTTCTGAAATAGTTTCACTATCTTCACTACCTACAAAGAAGTGAGCATCCACATCCTAGTATTCATAAGTATTATAGATATATAAAGTGAAAAGACACTAGTCGTATATGTTAGTTTTATGAGTTGAATCAATAAGCATCAACTATTTATAATGATGAAGTTTCTCAAGTTATTTAAAATATGCAAATATGATGCCTTAGTAGATCAATGAGTAATACTATTATTTTCAACACGATATTCTTTTTTAATTAAATAGGATATAGATTGTAAAATATCTGTTTTTAAATCAGAATCGCCAATAAGGTGAATTTCTATAGGTCTACAAATTTTATATTTAATATTTGTTACTTCTTTTTGTCTTAAATATTGCACATTTACACTAAGATCTAATTTATTTGTTACATATTTTTTAATGGTAGCAGTAATTGCTAGAGGCGAATAATTTTTAACTGCTTCTTTTTCTACTAAAATTCAGATAGCTTGAGAACATTTGATCCTATCAGTTTCTAATAATGAATGCTTATAGTTAAGAGAATTCTTATAGCATTCAATATTGATCATTTTCAATAAGATTAACCATGAAATTTTAATTTTAGCTCCACATAGTCCGGATGGTCATATTCTCATTATTCTGCACTTCTCATTTGAAATATTTTCCTTCTGACATATACTTGATTCCCAATGCTTTGTAAGATAATAAGTAAAAACTTTTCAATAATTACCATTTTCTAATTTGTATGAATTTTACTATATCCAGATATTTAAAACTAACAGCCACTAATTTTTTTTAAAATCCTCTATTGGAATTTCTAAAGAACTGTTTATATTGAAAAAAAGATTTCATTTTTCATTTAGTGTAAAACTAGCTAATAGCATAATAATTGAAGAAACTGTAAAATTTAAAGAAGCAGCTGAAGAAGCCATAAATTTTGAAGAAGCAGAAATACCTAAAAAGATAATTGAAGAACTGCAAAATTTGAAGTAGCAGTATTCAAGAAGTAGCTGAAGAAGTTGCAAAATTTAAAGCAGTAGTAAAATTCAAAAAGATGGTTAAAAATGCAAATATATTACATTAAAAATATTCTTTTTTTAATTTTCTTCTTCTTTCTCCTCCTCCTTTATTTTCTCCTTTTTCTGCTTCTTTTTCTACTTATGGTATCTGCTATATTAAAAAAATATAAATTTCATTTTTTATAATTTATTTAAAAATAAAATGGTGGCTTTGTGAAAATTGAAAAATAGAACACTATTGTATTATCATATGCTTTGACAGCTTTATATACATGTAAGATTAAAATTAGCTGATTATTTTATTTTTATTTTTGTATGACAAATTGACTATTACCCTAATAAATCACTATTTATATCTAACAGACCAATCACAATTATCTTTATGATCACTTGACAATATCATGTGATTATTCTGCTATAGATAACCTCCAAATTTGATAAATCTCTTTCCA